GCACTGCTCAAACTCAATCTCCGTGCCCGTCACGGTAGCGTGCGAGACTGGCTCAGCATGCGCCGCGGCCGAGACGAGCTCGGGGATGTTGAGCATGGGCAAGGGGATGGCAGGGGCCGCCAGTGCGACCCGGCCGCTCACCGCCAGAGCGAGGAGAGAGATGATGGGGAGCATTGTGATGATGTGTAGGGGTTGTTGGAGAGGGGGGGTTTAGCCGCCTGTGTGAGTTCAAGTCGAAGAGGTAGTTGCGCTGCAACAAAGGAAATAAGAGTGGGAATGGGAAGCAGGGGGCTAGGGGATCGACCGTCAAGGTGGATTGAAGCTGTGCTCTATATATCAGCTCCTCTTCCAAGCTCGGTGCTCCCTGACTAGTGGGATTCCTCGGTCGTAGGCACGTTCGCATGACGAGTAGACAGGGACTGGAATAACCGCTGACAGATCGGGTCGAGAACAACACGAAAAGAGAGTGGTCATGAGACCCCCCGACGCCTTCCCTCCCTCCGGTGACCCCGCTTCGATCCGAGTCGAGCGGTGGAGCAACCGAGGGGAGAGGGGTGGGAAAAGAACAGCGAGGGATGGGTGTGTGTGCAGATCCATCACGTAGATCATCCATGTGCAGCATGGTCCAGAGCTTGGCCTGTCAGGCCTTGCTCCTTCGTCTAACCGCTCTAAGACCATGCCGCTTGACCCTCCGGCCGTGGGAATCGCGGGGAGCGGGGGGGGGGATACGCAAGAACATGACCGTAAACTCACTTTTGGATTCCGGATCCTTATTCTTCCGATCTCTTCAAGAGACCGAGTGAGGGGGTTGAGAAATGTAGGTGGGTGAAGAAAGTGTTTACTCGTCAAGAGTGAAGAGAAGAGCTTGAGACTGTTCTCTGTTGCGACATTATATACATCTCATGAAACAGACATGGCTGGTCAGGTCCATACGCTTAAGACGTCGTCGAGTCCAATGGATGGACCTGGTGGTGACTGTAGACAGGATTACCCACTGGTTCAAGCCCGAGTCTCGAGGGACACAGGGTCTATCGCATAGCCGTAATAATGGCCGTTGGTTCCCGCAATACCCGACCCCGACCGACCCACCGTCCCTGTCCCCTGTATCCCACCTCCCAGCCTCGCCTCGCCCTCATCCCCCGCCTTCCCAAGCTTGCACGCACGCATGTATGTGACTGTGGTTGCACCGACATGAAGCATGACGAGGTCCCTTGCAAAAGCACGATTAGTCTCCCCGCCTCGGGGCTAGGTCAGACCCGTAGCTCGGTCTCATCACCACCCGACTATTGCATGCGAGGTATACGTTCACACCCAACGCTCAGGATCCAAGTTCACAGTCGTGCGGGTCAGAATGGCACCGGGCCATACGCCTCGCATCGGCCCTTGCATTCCTCCCTAAACATCCGATTACATTCCCGCGTATTCCGCTCCTCCTCGCATTGATTGCATCGCAACCCAACCCGACAGAACGCTAGCGTCAGCGCGCGAGCGCGTTTCATCGATACACGAAAGCGATGTGGACAGGGTAGAGAGGGGGGATGAGGGTGTGTCAAGCACAGACAAAAGGGAAGGGGAGGCTGGTTGATGTCGTTTTCCCAACCAAACCACTCGATGCCGTCCAACTTACGTCTCTTCCCCAAGTACCCTACCGGATGCCTCCAGTCCCTGTCTAGCACGCATTTCACCTCAAACGCAGGACATATCCCCATGGTCGTATCGCTCCCCTCGGCCGGCAGACCGGGCGTCGCGACCCATTGGCCGTGCTCGTCTCGCTTGTCGAGTTCGAACGAGGAGGGTAGTCTGTTCGGCCGCCCTGGGAGGAGAAACGCATGCGCCGATAACACTAGCACCAGGCTTAGGCTGAGGAGGCTGTGCAGAATGAGCATGGTGGAGAGTGAATCAGTCGGACCCAATGGACAGTGAAGCGTACAAAGTCTGATCACCCCGAGGTGCGTCCCGCTTCAGTAGGCTCGGGCGCGACGTCATGAGTTTCTTGATCATTCTCACATTGCAACCACCACCCAGCCTGTGGGTAATCCATACTCAAGATAAACTATACATGCACCGCCGTATCAACAAGATGTCCACTCCCAATCCTACATGTACCATCATACTTCACATTCGACAGAGCACGAAATCTCCCCAAATTACTCTCCAGAACAATGCCTCCTCCGTTGCAATATCCTCCACCTTAATATCTCCTTCGGCCGCTGCCGACCGGGCGCCAGTCGATCGCTTTGCCTCCGGCCCTCTGAACCGTTCGCAGGGGCCGCACCAGGCCGCCGAGCTCTGCCGCACGGGATGTGTCGGGATCGTTCGCCGGGTTGTAGAAGTAATGCGGCAACAAAGGGTGACCCGAGGCGTCCTATTCGTCAGTATTGAGACCCCGCACTATGCCATCCGATCTACCCACCTTTCCGTGTCTCTGCACCTTGCCAAACATGGGGTTCTTCTCCAACACCTCGCCCGCCCAGTTCATCCACCTTGATTCCTCGCCTGTCTCTCTGAGGCTCGGTTGTGACTGGTATCAGCTTTGTTGCATCACCCCCTTTGAGCTCTCAGAGTAACGTACATCGAGCATGTGCTTGACCAAATCAGGCAAAGACAGCTTGGAGCTGCCGGAGAACACAACTGTCGAAGCGAGCAATGCTGGCAGGTCCACGCCCGAGGGGATCGGGTCGTGCTCGATGTTGGGCAAAGGCGCGATGGCCGAGTCGATAAGCTCTCGCTTGATCGACTTCTCGCGTGACACCGATCGAGGGGGAGGGGTCAGACCCCGTGCCTGCTCCTCCTCCTCCTCCTGACTCTCCTCCTCTGCCTCCTCCTCCTCGTAAGCCGGCTCAGAGGCGGGTTCCGAAGACGGTGCGGATTCCTCCTCCTCGTCAGACGGGACGGAGAGAGGAGACGACTCCCGCGAGAAGATGGGCGATACGGCTCGGGACATGAGGGGTGATTTAGTGTCGGCCGCATGCTCCTCCTCCGCCTCGTCGTCTTGCATCTCGACATCGCCGTCCGAGAGGGGCATCATGGGCGGGGAGGAAGGAGGGAGGGACATTCGTGCGGATCCGATCGGAGAGCTCAGTTCCGGAGTGAACAGCTGAGCGCGCAGCAACTCGTGTCGGTCCTCCACGTCTTGCGGTGCTTCCACCGGAGCGGGCGGTGAGACCGCTTGCGCTGATTGGGGTTGAGGGGCGGCGTCGGCAGGTGGATTGACCGGTGGGAAGGAGACGGCGACGCTGGTCCCATAGAAATCCATAGTAACGGACTCTGTCCTCGAAACGGTCTTGCGTTGTCCTGCCAGTGCTCTCTTCCCCGCTATCCTCATGCCATTCTGACCAATGACGAGCACGCGCAGCACGTCGCGCTCCTCGTCGTACTCGACCAGCGCGTGCGTGCGCGAGGCGTGTGAGGCGTATCGGCTGAGGTAGATGATCGAGGTGGGCGCGTCGAGGTCGGAAACGAGATGGTGCAAGTGGTTGGGCACGGCGGAGCGGAGGGAGATGGGGGAAGACACTGGGACGGTTGATTGGCTCTTGGAAGAAGATGGGTCCGAAGGCGTAGGGGAAGGGAGTCGGTGTCGGTGTCGACCGAAAATCAACGACGTCCCGGGCACGATAGTCACTTGGTCCATTGGCGCGGCAGAGGACGATTCGCCCCGAGTGGGACTTGACGAAGTCAGTCGAGGAGGTGAAGATGAGGCCGCGACGGTCGATGTGCTCGGTGTCAACGCCCGATGGACGCGTGACGGCAACGCGGGGATCTTGAACGCGGTTTCGGGCGTCGGAATAGTCGTCTCGGACAAAGGGCTCTTTCGAGGTTTCTTGCGCTTGTGGTCGAGAGCGACGGTAGGTGGGGAAGGGCGTTTGAACGACAAGGTGAGTTTGGTCGACGGTGACGACGAAGGCTGCTGCGACGAGGGCGATGGCAAGTGGCTGTTGCTACTGGGCATAGGCAGGACGCGGAGGGGGGTGAGAGGGGCCATGGTCATGCTGCGGTCTTGCCCCGGGAAGGAGGTGTAAAGAGTCGGGATGTCGAGTGTGAGGGTGAGGATGAGGAGGGTTCTGACCCTTTGGCTATTCGCTGTTCCTCTCTATCGGTCCTGTCTAGTTGGAGTTGAAGAAAAGTGAAAAGAATGCGAACGGACGAGCTCCTGACATTGGTCGGGCTCAGAGTCTCCCTCGCTCCGAGTGGCCGACGCGACTACTGTAATGTCATGTGATTTACCACTCTCAGGCACGGATCACAAAGACCCCACCCCTCGGCTCGCCCATGAGCGCGTCGACAATGTCAAAACACCGAAACGCCGATGGTAGCGATCCTCCCTTAACGCTACATTACGATGAGACTATGGCTGTAGCGATGCAAGAGAGCATACAATGCAGTCATAATGGGAACAGTGAGATCGATAGCCCATGCAGCGACGATAAACGCATGGAAGTCAGGCCTGACTCTAGACGCGCTGGTAGCAAAAGGAGCGCGCGGCTCGACTGTTAAACCTCGACGGGGGTCGCCGCCTGTCCCGTGACGCGTCTTCCATCGCATACGCAGGGCTCGGTTGGACAAAAGGCCTGATAACACAGTCTGGAGATCGGAGCACAACTCCGTGCACGGCCAGTACGCGCGCTTGGTGGGGTGTATGACATGTGTGGCGGAGTACTGGCGGCAAGGATGAACGGGGAATCTCATTCGCCATACAGTGATCCTGCCCTAGGTCTCTCTACCGCTTCGCCCCGCAACCCCGTCGGTACGCGCACCGGAGCACGCAGAAGTTAGACAAAAAGGGCCACGGCAATCTTGGCCGCATGACAAGTTGCGCGATCCGAAAAAAAGAAATGCTATGACCATCTCGAAAGAGAACAGCAAAAAATATCCGATGAATCAAGCCTTCAGTGGGGCTCGAACCCACAACCTAGCGATTAAAGTCGTAACCAAGGTTACTGCTTAAGAGTCGCTCGCTCTACCGATTCGAGCTATGAGGGCGGAAAGATTCCCGGAAAATTAGCCTTCAGTGGGGCTCGAACCCACAACCTAGCGATCGAAGCTGTAACCATTGAAGGATACTACTTAAGAGTCGCTCGCTCTACCGATTCGAGCTATGAGGGCTTGTGTTTCAGTAAATTGGACTAGGTTATGTACGCCCAGCAGCAGGGCGAGTATGGGAGTCGTTCATTTTCTGGTGTCTGAGCTGTAGAATCACTCATACCGCCGCTCTACGTGTATGTAACAGCATTCAGATCGTTTTTGCGACGCTGCGATTGATTTACGGTGCATTGCCGGACATACCTCTCGAGATGGTGGCAGTTCGCAACGATCGGCATGGTGCTCTCCCTACATCGCCACCGCGTCCTATGTCCACCGCATAGCTTCGGCCCGCCGTGACGGTGGCCTTACCTCGATAGATGGCCTATCGAATTCGTCTATGGTGCACTCGGATGAACAAGAGGATCAAAATCAGCAGTACCGATACTTGAGGCTATGTCCCGCGACCCTGCCGTAGGACTCCTGACGGTGAACAAACCGCCCCACCCCAATGTAGAGAAGCAAATGACCTTCATGGAGCTGTCCGCACTCACCAGGCGAGATGTAGGATTGAACTGTTAAAGTCAATCGGGCAGCTCTGAGATGCATTCTCCCTTCAGCACACACACACAGGCTCAGCAAGGACCACATTGATAGTCCCGGACAAGTGACGGAAGAGGATGAAGGCTCGGAAGGCGATGTGGAAACGACAAAGTGACGGGGGAGTCGCTGGGTTGTCATCCTGATCGCATCCGATATGCATATGCATAGTCTCTATCATGCGCGAGTGGGAGCTCACGTGAAGCCTCGACGTGGGAGATTATTCGCGTTCTTCTTTGACCTTGAGGCGTTTGTTGTGCGATTCCATTGCCGACCAGCCAACAGGCTCTCAGTGCGCGGAGCTGGTCCGACATTGCGGTATCACAGTTCCCCTGTACCTCGATACTACCAACAATCCAGGCACTCAGTTTAGCAACTTTAGACTGCACTGCACAGAGCTCTGCGTGCGTTCGCTCCCAAGATGTTACGAAGTCGATAAGCACGGCCTTCTGCATCAGGCTCGCACCGCTTCACCGCTCTCCAAACGACGAATTGTATCTGGAGAGACATGAAACGGTTCGCGGGCCCGAGCGGTCTATATCGGACCACACGAAGGCTCCGTGGAAGGCTAGGCGCTACGACAACAGCAGAAGATGGAGCGGTGGTGAGGGCTCCCGACCACAGACGGCTATATAGATAAGACAATATCAAAGGAAACAAGCCCTCATAGCTCGAATCGGTAGAGCGAGCGACTCTTAAGTAGTAACCTTCTTCGGTTACAACTTGATCGCTAGGTTGTGGGTTCGAGCCCCACTGAAGGCTTTACCTTTTGCAGGTCACTTTATGTTGCACCTTTTTTATTTTTTCTTTTGGCTTTGGTCTGTCTTTGCGTCCATCCTGTCCCTCGTCGCTTCGTTGATCGGTACAGACAGACTGGTGATGCAGCAAGAGCGCAGTCTACTGCTGTCAGTTATCGCAACCCCGGCGAGACGGTGTTGTATCTTGCTTGACTGTTGTATTTTGCTCGGGAAACCTCGCAGAGCCAGGATCACCTCAGAGCATCGCGAGGTGAGGATCGACCAGCCCTTGCAGATGTTCACGCTCAATGCTATGACATGACACCGGCACTCTATGCATAGGCGGGAGCAACAGTAAGCTTGAAGCCAAAAAGGACGTATGTCACATGCACCACGGATAAGGTGCTGCAATGCTACAGGAATCTCGTTCAGATCTCGCCCTCCTCGACATCTTCATCCCGCTTCCTGTCCCTGCTCCTCTCCCTGCGGTCGGAGGACACACGTGGCCGCTGTATCGTCAGCTTTGCACTAAAGACATTGAATGCCAACGCACCTTGCGATCCCTATCGTCCAAATCGGGCGATCGGCGGTCCCTCCGCTCGTCCTTCCTCTTATCCCTCTCATCCCTCTGTGGGCTCCTCGACCTGTACCGATCTCGGTCCCTCCTGTCCCCTTCGTCTCGTCTGTTGGTGCTTCCACGGCGACCTGTCGAACCATGATCGGACAATTCGGCCTCTCGAAGCTTTTCCTTGGCGTTCAGCGAGGTAAATAAAACGTCGCGACTTACTTTTTGTCGCTTGATAAACTTGTCGTAAGCGGTCTTGCGGTCCTCATCGTCCGTAACGTCCTTGAACTCTGGCAGGTCCTTCATATGCGGCAAGGCCTATTGTCAGTATATTGTTTCCGCGCCGAGCCAGAACCCAAACCCACATCGTCATATGACATGTCGACGTCAATCTGCCGGACCTTTTTCAAGGCATATCGAAGATCGTCCATCCTGTGCCTTCGCTTCCTCTCCGCCCGCCTCGCTTCGTCCGCGGCCTGCTGAGCCAATCTTTCGTGAATCAGACTGTGCGCTTCTTTCCTCATCTTCGCGTCAATCTGCGTGTCCAAGTGCGCCGCTTTGATCAACGCCTCGAGATCCTCCAGCGTCGTCTCCAACTTGATATCCTTCCCGACCTCCCTCTCGATCTTTGCCGCGGCTCTCTCCACCTCTTCGCTGATATCGTCGACGGCATCCATCCAGAGCTCAAGGGCAGATGAACCGTGCTGACCAAGCATGGCGAGGTACCGCTCGTCATTCTTGAATTTAGGGAACAACTCCTTCCACTTGCTGTTCCTCTTCAACTCTCCCTTCGCTTCCAGTTCCGACAACAGCGCCTTGAAGCCTTCTCTCGCCTTGCGGGCCTTTCGAGCGTGCTCAATGCGGTATCGCCTCGTCTCCTCCTCGTTCTCCTGCTCGAGTTGACGCATATAGTCGTCGTACACTTGGAGCATGTCAATAGTCTCAATTCGCGAGAGGTCCGAACTCTCTTTGAAACTCGGGGCGGCGAGGATGAGGTTGTGGGCCGCGCGCCATGTCGTGGAGACGGTGATCTCGAGCTCCCGGACGAGCGCGGAGAGGTTCTCAATGTTCCTCGTCCTCAGCGCTCGCTCTTCCTCCTCTTCCCTCCTTCGAAGCTCGGCCGTGTACTCGTCGAGGATGAGTTTTCGCTCGTCCGGCTTTGAATCTCGCCAGAGACGCTCTCGTGCGAAGACCCTGTCAGCGGTTTTGGTGGTGGAGTAGGGCTTGATGTATCCGCTGTGTTGGAAGAGCTTGATGAGGGCTGGGCGGATCTTGGCGATTCGAGCGTCTTTGATTGCCTGACGCTCGGCAACGATACTAGCGGTGTACTGGAATCAGCAAAGCGAACAGGTAGGGCCATAGTCAAGCCATTTCCCAACAGCAGTTTCGATGACAGGGCGAATGCTGACCTTTTCAAATGCCGCTTTCTTTTGGGCCAGCGTGTCGAGGGCTTTATACAATGGATCCATGATAATCTTCCTCATGGTCTGATCCCAAGTCCATTTCTCATCAATCTTCTCCCGTTTCAACAGGTAGATGAACGCCTCTTCAGCCTTTTCGACAGAAGAGAAACCGCCCACGGGGAACGTGATGACTTCGAGCGGTTCGGGCGACTCGGACCGAGCAGGCGAGAGGGAGCGGTATCGCTGCAGTGCGTTCCTGTCGTTCCCTTCGAGCTCGGGCGACATGTCTCGAGGCGGCGTGGGACTGCTATTAGCTCTCTTCCCTCACGAGGTGTTATAAAGACACTAAAGGACGTACGATACGAGACCAAGTTCGATCCGCCTTTTACGTTCAGCCTTGTAAGCCTCCTCCGCGTCGACCTTTTCTTTCAACGCGACCAGCTCGTCTGGCATGTCCCATTTGGTCTCCTTGGTCGTGTTGTTCACATAGTATGGACGACCTTTCGAGGTGTACTGCTTCCATTGCGTCTTTCCGATCGCTCGCTCGAAAGGCGTCTTGAGCTCGTCGGGCTTTTCCCAGACCGACTGCTTGGTAATCGAGTTGGACCAGTACGTCCGACCTTCCGAGTTCTTGTACTCGGACCAGTTACCTGCGGCCGAGGCTGGAGAGGCTGACATTGTGAGGGGTGAGTAGAAGAGTGAGTGTATTGATGAGTGGAAGACGAGAAGGAGGGTGAAGCAGGTGTGTCGAGCGGGGCACAACGTGGATTTGATCCCGTTGAAGAGTGGCAGCGTGCTAATATTGCTGAAGGGAATATAGCCCATGGTCGACACCGTAAGCAGCGCTCGGAGGACCTCATTCCATGCAGTAATGAGGACTATGACTTCGTTACAGTGCTCTGATCCGGTGGAGAGCATGTGTGACAATTGATACCATAATGTGTGGCTATAATGCTACGAGATACACGTTTGATTTGTTCGCCTCTAACCTCCCAGGCTAGGAGACTATGCGTCTTCGACAAGACTCACCCCCTGTTCCTTCTTCTCGCCCTCAAAGTTCTCTATCCCCTTGGCATCGGCTATCTCCCTAGACCCCGCAAATTGGTCGACGAGAGTCGAGGAGAATTTCCTCGCCGAGGTTTTACTCTCGAACAGGATCTCCAATTCTCCATACGTCCTCCCCTTCATCTCGGGACACCTGAAGTAGGTCCAGACAAAGCACAAGAAGCATAGTCCGCCCCAGTAAAGTCCCGTCTTCCCTCCCCAGTTGAGCTCGTCGGGGTTGAGGAAGTATGGCATCTTGACAACGTTGACCGCCCCAGCGATGTTGTAGCAGATTCGCGCGATCACGACCGTCTTGGCTCGCAGTCGGGTCGAAGAGCATTCAGCGACGATGGCGTAGCATACAGGTCCGACTGTTCCGTCATACACCGCCGTGTAGATCAACAGCAACGCCCCGATAGCCCACGATGGGCCCATAGACGATCGGGAGGCGAATCCCAAACCTCCGATGATGAGGAGCAAGACGGTTTGGATGCCGAATCCAGTGAGGTAGAGCTTTCGTCGACCAATATAGGTCATCAGCCACCATGACGCGATGGTTCCGACGGCTCCGAGGGCGTATTGACCGATGGACATGGAGAAAGCATGGCTGGTATCCAAGCCGGCCCGTTCTAAGAAATACGTGCTGTATCCCATGAAAGCCGATCCACACCAATTTTGCGCAACCCAAGCGCCCACAGCGACCTCGGTCCTTCGAAGGTCGACGCCGCGGAAACA